GAGCTAGAAGACAAAAGACATTTATAGAGGTATAAATATAAGCATGTATATATAAATGTATAATGATAGGGATATAGGTCTATATGCATATATATATGTGCTAAGTATTAAGGTAGAAACAGACATTGGGCCTCTATTTAAATCCTTCCTCAACCGAAGCACACTATGTTCTAATAACCTGGCATCCTGTGATGCTCACCTTCCCAACACAACTGCTGAAGACAAAATGGGTGCATAAGTAAATGTGGTGAAGAAAGCGGGTGATGCTGGACTGTAAAAAGAGACAGTGTAGTAACTCCGTGCCCTTGCCTCTCCCTTCCTTTTTCCACCATCTTTCCATGCCACCATCAAGATGGGCGTGAACGTCCTGTCCAGCGCTCTCAAGAGCATCAGTAATGCCGAGAAGAGAGGCAAACGCCAAGTCCTTATTAGGCCGTGTTCCAAAGTCACTGTCCAGTTTCTAACTGTGATGATGAAGCACGGCCACATTGGTGAATTTGAAATCATCGGTGATCACAGGGCTGGGAAAATTGTAGTGACGCTCACGGGTAGATTGATCCAGTGTGGAGTGATCGGCCCTAGAGCTAACGTGCAGCGCAAAGACCTAGAGATGTGGCTGAACAACCTGCTCTCCTCCCGCCAGTTCGGTTTCCTGGTGCTGACGACCTCCGCCGGCATCATGGACCACAAGGCAGCCAGGCGAGAACACACGGGAGGGACAATCCTGGGCTTCTTTTTCTAGGGATGTCATGCATTGAAACAAATAAAATACTGAATGGAAGGTGGGGTGTGAGGGGAAAGATACAGCATCTGGGGTCTTAAAGGCTTGTAGTTAAACAAGTGATCATCTAGCAGGGAAGCAACAAAGCCCACAGGGAAGAAGCACACCAGCCTGTGTGAGCATGAGGTGTTGATGGTATCAGGTATTAGAGGATCCAAATCAAACAATTGTATAGAGGCGAACGAGGGGTGTTGGAGTGGAGACCCAAGACCCATCAGTAGACAATTGAACAGTCCCTCACAGAAGGATCACAAGGAAGGGATGAGCCAGCCAGGGTGCAGCATGGTACTGACAAAACTTACACAACATTCCTCTAGTTCTTTAATGCTTCCTCCTCCTGCACTATCATTACCCCGATTCTACCCTACAAATACAACTATACAAACTAATAAATAAAGTAGCTACCTCTCAGAGAATGTACATTGGTACAGATAAGAGCTCTCGACACACGGCATCTAGGACAGATAACCCCCTCAGGAACAGAAATTGGAATAGCCATACCATGAGGATAGAGGGAAAGTGGAAGAGATGGGGGAGAAAGGGGAACACATCACAATGATCGACATATAACCCCCCTTTCCCCAAAGGGGATGAATAATAGAAACATGAGTGAAGGGAGACAGAGGACAGTATAAGATATGAATATATATGAAGTAGGGAACCAGTGGAGAGGTCTGAGGGGCCAGCCCCAAACCCAACTATGTGGACACCTGCCCCTCCCCCCAGAAGAATTTATTTTAGAGGACAGCACTGAATCTGCAGCTCAGGGAGAGGGACATGTCTGATCAGAGCACACGGGAGCAGATGAAGAGGGAGGAAGAGAGAATGGAGCACATCCTGGCTCACCAAGCCTTGACGACGAGATTCCTGCTCAGAGCAGCCAATCCACAGAGAAGACCATATGGCCGGCCCCACGATGAGACAG